CAGTAGCTTCTCCATGGGTAGATACTATTGCAAAATCTGCAAATTGTTCGATGATGAAAGGTGAGAAAATCAGGTTGGCATTTCTCATTGATCTTGTTAGCACCATATATTGCCTTGAAAAAAGAAAAGGAGAAGGTGGACATGGAAAAATGCATAAATGGGTAATCAATTGGTAGGTTAAAGTGATGGGTTCCTAATTGGTTTTAGCTACTAATAACTAGTGTGATGGACTTCTTATGCTATGAAGCATTCTTGGCTGAAGAATCTTTCATGTTTGAGAAGGAAAAAAAACATAAATGGAGTCCTTTTCCAGGCGAACTATAAAATTTATTGCCGATATTATGTCAAAATCTGGTTAGCAAACATGAGGCCTTTGAAAATTCGTTAAGCGAAGAAGAGGAAAAAATTAAATAGTTGCTGTAAGCTAATTTCATCAGTTATATGCTTATGCCTGCACTAGCCACAGTGAAAATTTTCTCTCTTTCTGGCTGGCAACTTTTAACAAAAGTGATTCAGAAGTCCAGGTTCACATTTTAGGAGCTCTATCTAAGTGTAATTGAGGATACAAGACAACTAAGTACAACTTGATAGACTTGCACTATGCATCTGTTCCCCCTCCTCTCTCCCCCCATCCCAAACTTCCTAAAAAAAATATGTGCGCTGTACTGCATTTCTTGTTCTAACACAACAGATTTTTGAACAGGCAAATCTACCACTGCCCTTTCTGCAATCTGTGCCGGTTGGGAAAAGGATTAGGGAATGATTACTTCCATTGCATGAATTGCAATGCTTGCATGTCAAAGTCTCTTTCTATTCACATATGCAGAGAGAAATGCCTGGAGGAAAACTGTCCGATCTGCCACGAATATATTTTCACATCGACCAATCCTGTCAAAGCTCTTCCTTGTGGCCATCTGATGCACTCTACATGCTTTCAGGTGTTAAGCTCATTTGTTTCTTGATTTAATAAATTTAGAGTGAACTTTCAGACTGTTCTGCTAATTCTTCTCGATTTTGCTCTTACTACTCCTTTTAGGACTACACTTGTACTCATTACACCTGCCCGATATGTAGCAAGTCACTTGGGGACATGCAGGTCAGAAAACGTTTTAGCGTAGAAATGTTTTTTACCGTTTTTCCTACTGCTACAGACTTACATTTTATCACATGTGTAATTACTTGGTACTTAATTTCAGGTGTACTTTCAGATGTTAGACGCGTTGCTGTCTGAAGAGAAAATCCCTGAGGAGTATGCTGGCCAGACTCAGGTTCACTTTTCTATTTATTGACTTTCATGAATGGACTTGCAATGATTGGCNCTCTAATTGGGTTAGGCATATCAATCCCTTCTGACACTAAGGTTAATAACAGGCTATACTATGCAATGATTGTGAAAAGAGAGGAACAGCTTCCTTCCACTGGCTCTATCACAAATGCTCCTATTGTGGTTCATACAATACAAGACTTTTATGATCAAAATCCACAAGGAGTACGAACAGCTGATTCAATGCTCCCACAATGTAGATAACACAGTCGCCCACGAATGCTTGGAATGCATGAAACACTTCTGTTTATCATTTCACCAACTTATGCGTGCAGCACGTTCCTGGATTCTGATACGTTGTAAAGTTCTTAACAGTGAGGATGATGGTCCTAACTTCTGATATGTGACAATTTTGACCAAGTTAGCAGAAATAAATAATAAACGAGACATATTTATTTCTTGTTCATTTTTCCAAAATATATTCCTGACACGATTTGTTATATATTTTTCAATTTTTTGATGAATATATGGGAGTCTTGAATTTCAAGCTGAGCAGTTTGTCTATATTATTCAAAACGGTTCTTGTTTTCGTGGCACCAAGCGGATGAAAACTTAAGCATAATTGTCTCCTACATCCTAATTCTATATTTCTATGTTTTTTCCGTATAAACTTTAAACTGCATTTATTTTATCAATCAACTAATTCGCTTGATTGGTTGTTTTCTTGATATTGCAGCACCCTCTTGGCCTCTTCTATTATCTGTAATTTTATCAATCAACTAATGCGCTTGATTGGTTGTTTTCTTGATATTGCAGCATCCTCTTGGCCTCTTCTATTATCTGTAAGACCTTTGAGCATCTGCTTTCTTCGAGCCAAATATACCATTGCTTCCCTTTAATTTCTGCCTTTTCTCGAAGACTAATGTCGTTGTAACACTAAAGATCACATAAATCAATTCTTATTGTAGCAACAGAAACAAAATCTATTTGTCTTGCTCATTCTTCTAGAGAAATATTTCCTCGATGTACCAATAATAGATTATCAAGTGCTGTAGTTTGTGGTACTACACTACCTGTTATATCATGTCAATCATTATAGCAGCAACAACAACAACAACAACAACAAAAAAACCAGTGTATTCCCATAAATGGGATCTGGGGAGGGTAGTGTGTATGTAGATCTTACCCCTACCTTACAAAGATAGAGATGTTGTTTCCGATAAACCCTCGGCTCAAGGAACAATGGAGATAAAACAACAAGTAGCAAATTATAGTAACAATATATTAAGGTAACGGGCACAAATGACACAACATGTAATAATAAAGAACCATGAATAAGATGATACAAAAATAGTCCTAGTACTACTGGTAAGCCTAGGAGGAACACACTACTATATGTCAACCTATAACCCTAATCCTTGACCTCCACATCTTTCTATCATGGATCATATCCTCGGTAAACTGGAGCAATAACATGTCTTGCCTAACTACCTCTCCCCAATACTTCTTAGGCCTGCCCCTTCCCTTCCTAGACCCACAATGGACAACCTCTCACACCTCCTGACTGGAGCATCTATGTCTCTCCTCTTCACATACCTGAACCATCTCAGCCTCGACTCTCGCAACTTGTCCTCCATAGATGCCGCTCCTACATTGTCCGTAATAACTTCATTTTTTATCATGTCCTTCTTGGTGTGACAACACATCCATCTCAACATCCTCATTTCAACTACTTTCATCTTCTAGACATGGAATGGGACTTCTTGACGGGCCAGCACTCAGCACCATACAACATAGCTGGTCTAACCACCACTCTGTATAACTTGCCCTTAAGTCCAGGTGGCACACTCTTATCACACAAAACCCCCGAGGCAAGCTTCCATCTCATTCACCCCGCTCTAATACGATGGGTAACATCCTCGTCAATCTCCGTGTTGCCTTGAATGATAAACCCAAGATACTTGAAACTATCTCTCTTGGGGGCGACTTGAGTACCAATCTTCACTTCCACTCCTTCTTCATGCATCCCATCACTAAACTTGCACTCCAAGTACTTAGTTTTCGACCTACTCAACTTAAAACCCTAAGACTCCAGCGTCTATCTCCAAACTTCCAACCTAACATTAACTCCGTCACGTGTCTCATCAATCAGGACTATGTCATCAGCGAATAGCATACGCCATGGCACCTTCCCTTGTATGTGTCGCATCAGCACCTCTAACGCTAAGGCAAATAAAAAAGGCTAAAAGTCGATCCCTGATGCAACCCCATCTCCACTAGGAAATAGTCCGAGTTTCCTCCCGCCTTCCTCACCCGAGTCTTCGCTCCCTTGTACATTTCCTTAATCACCCTAATGTAGGCCACTAGGACTCCTCTAGCCTCCATACATCTCCATAGGACCTCTCGCTGGACTTTATCATAGGTCTTCTCCAGGTCTATGAATACTATATGCTAGTTCTTCTTCCTTTCCCTGTACTGCTCCACCAATCTCTTCACAAGGTGAATGGCTTCTGTAGTAGATCTTCCCGGCATAAATCTGAATTGGTTCTCGAAAATAGTAACACTACGTCGCACCCTCCTCTCCACCACTCTCTCCCAAATTTTCATAGTAAGACTCAGCAGCTTGATACTCATATAGTTGTTGCAGTCCTGAATATCACTTTTTGTTCTTATACAACAGGATCATCAAACTCCACTGTCACTCTTCGGGCATCTTCTTCTCCCTGAAAATGACATTAACCAACCCAGTAAGCCACTCCAAGTCTGCCCGACCCACTTCCTTCCAAAATTCTACTGGGATCTCGTCAGGCCCAGTTGCCTTACCCCTGCTCATCTTCCGCATTGCCCCCTCAAACTCTTCGCTCCTAATACTCCTACAAAACCCAAAATCCCTCTGACTCCTTGAGTTTTCCAACTCACAAGAGTCTATGGAAGTACTCCTGTCATCTACGCCTAATACACGCCTCTTCCACCATAACCTTATCATCTTCGTCTTTGATGCACTGCACTTGGTCTAGGTCCCTAGCCTTCCTTTCCCTAATCTTGGCTAACCTGTACAGCTTCATGTCGCCTCATTTGCCCCCAAGATCCTCATACAATCGCTCAAAAGCTGCAGTCTTAGCCGTCGTGACTGCCAATTTTGCCTCTTTCCTTGCCTTCTTATAACGCATGTCAATCATTATAGCGCATGCTAGAATTTGTGTTCTCTATTACAAATATCTTCATTTTTTCCTTGCCCCAATTAAAACCTCTATGTATGTTCATTATATAAGCTGCTTTCTGGCAAATTGCTTTCCCTTGTTCAGTTTTTCTACACTGTAAACATATGCACAATCTCCTACTCATGCTCTTGACTTAACATTTAGGAAACATCAAGGAAACTTTCCATCAGAGAAAATAACAAATCTTCGTAGAGTGAGCAATCGCATGGTTATTATAATGCTCATACATCAAGGATGATGGTACCTGATAATCTTCATAATCAGCTCTTGATAATCTTTTAGAAAAAGGTAGTTCATCACAAAAGGATTGCTTCCGTCTACATCCCTAGCCTAAATTTGTAGGATACTATTAAACAGATAACCAGAAGAGATGATATGGATTTTTTTTTTAAAAAAAAAAAAAAAGAATAAGAATAAGTTAACATTAAATTCGGGAAAAGAAGTAGCGATTTCACTTAGCAACTCTTCAGGTGGTAGGATAGATAGTGGGGTGTATACATGGAAGGATCGTTTTATACTGCAGCAAAAGACGCAAATCGTCGTATACAAAGGCAACAAGCTAGTGTCCAACTTTCTAAAAACCAAATATAGCAGGAGAGGTGGAATTAAAGTATTCTCAAAATGGCAGTACATTCTCGATGTTTTGTATCTTAACAAGACAAAATTTTGAATGGCAAAAGAAAAAGCCAGTCTGCTATCATTCTTCTTACATTTTCTTTGTACTCTATCAGTTGACGCTGGTAAGAGTGAAACATGCTGCAGCACTCTTTAATTCATTCTCAGCAACATGCTCCACAGAATGTCTCGTGTCTTTCAGTGATGATTCCGAACTGCACGGGACATTTTTTTCATTTCAGAACAACAGGACAATGATAATAATAGTAATATCAACCAGTAGAAGAGTTCAGCTAAATGCATGTCTAAAATATTTGTATATCAGCATTTATTGGTCATTATGATAAAAAAATAGTTTGATAACAATGAGTATACCTCGAGTCATAGGCTTCTTTAGAATCAATATAAGATTGTCTATCATCAATAGTGTCAAAAAACGGATGTATCTCATCGTAGTCTTGAGTAACTTCGGGTGGGACAGAAATTGCTTGTGAAGATGGCAACTGAGATTGCATGATCATTGTGTTGCTATTGTAAGCACTATTACCATATGATTGTTGAATCCATAACGAATTGACAGCATTATTTTCTTTAGGGTCAACAAATGTAGTGTTGTTGTTGTAAGCAGCATAGCTGTTGTTTGAGTAAGAGGGATAAGATTGGACAGGCAGTGCATTGTCATTGACAGCAGCATTATATTGCTGTGAAGGCGTGCCTTGATGGAATAGTGTTAATCCATTTCCATTATCGGGCTGAGGAGGCGGAGGAGGAGCAGCAACAGCAGGAGGAGGAGGCATTCCCAATTGTATATGAGAAACAGAATCACTGAGTGCTGTGGATGAGATCTCTTGTTGTTGATGCTGCTGCTGCTGTCTATAGAAGGCTAATTGTGCATGGACAGCTTGAAGTTCCTCCTCATATAGTTGAATGTTAAAGACGAGGTTTTGTATCTCCGCGACACATCCATACACAGGATGCTTATCGCGGGCATTTGCTTGATAAATAATGGATTTCATGGCCACTTTCTTTTGGGATGGATCAAGCTGCTTCAGTATTTTTAGAATGTTGCTGACTCCGAAGAGCCTGTGTGCGTTTTGGAACATTTTGGGTTGATCAGCTGGGAAATAGGGAGCTAAGGGGCAGTCAGAAATGCAACGCCTCCTTTGGTACTTGCACGCAGCGCAGGCTTGGCTGGTGCCACCCTTGAGAGTCATTATGTGATCTTCAAAGCATCAAACGGACTTGAAAAACTTTTCAAGAATTGCAAAGCAATAGGAAGGAAGAAGGGATATTCAAGAATTGAGAAAGATAGGGAATTAAAGGGAGTGTGGTGAAGGAGTATAGGGAAGACAGAAAGAAGCCAAATGGCACAGGATTGAGTCTGGAACAGGTCTGTTTAATAGCGGATTTTGCTGAGGGCTGGTGAGAGACTGAGTAAAAGTAAAGAGATTGGAAGAGAGAAATTCGGGAATGTTGGAGATGTTCGTTTTTGGTTTTTTCAAGTCCTTGACCGTTGTGTTTATTGTTTTTACTCAGAGCATAGCCTAGTCCTTTTTCCATCAGCAAAAATAGGACTTCTCTTCCTCATTATGTGGCGCACTTGTGGTTACATCCATAGTCTCATTAACGCTTTTGATATTATTTTTCTAGCTTTTATAACAGCGAAAAAAAACACAAACTACTAATTTCTAGCTTTCATCACAGCGGAAAAAACGAAAAGAGAAAATACAAACTACTAATTTCTAGGCCAAATTGACTACAATTTATTTTGGACATTAGATTCTATGCGTCAAGTTGGGAAAGCATAGATGTTAATCATATACTGTACCTAAAAAAGGTTAGTGTCATGGACACTATAAAGAAGGCCTAGTCACTTTCCTTGGTTAGTATTTTTCATTTGCTTAATGGTATAAATTATATATATAACATATAATAAAACTGATTCTTTATTCGAATTTTGTTATAAAGCTTTAATTATATTTCTTTAACGTCGAGGGTCATGAATCTATCTATCTATATTGTAGTGCCTTCTCTTTTCAACTCCTTTTTCGTAAGGCAATTTTTGTTCCTATAAAAGTCTCCATGAGGTTTATGAAAAAAAAAAACACAACTCAAAAAGAGAGCCAGAGATGGACCAACCAAAACCTCCATAAAATTACAATTTACCAAAAGAGGAGTATGCCACCCCAACAGTGTGAAGGAAACAGAAAAAAGAGAGGCGAATCGTCATTCACTCTGTAGTCACCTCCCAAGTGTGACACATGCTCCTGAATGTATTCAAGGTGAAGACGACAATGCCAAGAATGACCATGGATTTGCTGGCTAACTGGAGTTTTAAGGGGTTTGATTAAGAAGAAAAATAGAGTATAGTCAACCGATACCTAAAAGAGAAACCACGGATGACTTGTGAACATAGCAGAGCCTATCAGCAGAATTAAGTTCATTTGTTTACGTTTGCTGTCTTGCTGGTGTAAATCTGGATACATAGAAAATGCTGACAGTATGTTAAACTTTATTAGCTCCCTTCAGGGTAAGTGGGAGACTGCTGCTTAGACTTATAGCTGTACATATTTCAGCACCCTTAGTGCTGGTTTTAAACTTCATGAGATCTTTATCTTCACTGAATTATCCAAAAAAATGAAAAGAGAAAAAACTGGCAAGGGAAATACTGAATCAGCAGTCTGCAAGGTGTTTTCCTGCTTCACAAACAATTAGCAATTTTTCTTTCTTTTCATTCTCGTCATCATCTGTCATATACAAAATTCCCATCAATTCTAGAGCACTCAAAATTTACTCCCCCCAGAAGTGGGGTGGGAAGCACCTACTATAAACTGCATCACTAAAAACATACGACCATTATACACAACTTCCTTACATTGAAAGGTTTTAAGATGCAAATTTCCTAGCATTTCCTGTGTACAGAAGCAAATATCATGTAAAAGGTACTTTGCTGCCATTTGGAAGTAGAAATCCAGACCTCTCTCCAGGACAGGCAACTGGTAGCAAATGCAGCATGCCACCTTATTGTAAGGATTTCCAAAAATTTAGAGAACTGGCAGATGCAAAAACATGCTTCTGCCGACGGTATCCAGGTATCAAGGGCATCGGTACCTGCTCTTTCTTTCCTATGATCTGACGTGCACCAATGATGAAACAGAGTTTTCACTTTTCGAATTGGCACCCGCATGCCGATGACTCCTATAGTCTTTTCATCACAACAAAACTTGATTGTATGCTACTACAGCTTGGGTTTGTACAGCATCTACATTTTCCAAATAAGAATTTGCAGCTTTTAGCTCAGTCAAAACAGCATGTGAAGGTCAGATCAATAAGGTTGCCGCTTGAATGGAAAAACATGCTGATTCACATCTGCAGTGCGGTATAGGCAGGCATATTTTATAAGCTGAATTCCGTTTAATTGAAAAGAGAGGTATCATCTTTTAAGTCATCCTAATTTACAGCTTCAAAGAAGAGGACCTGCGGTTGCAAATGCCCTCTTTCACACATAACAAGAACATCATCCCAGCCGCCAATTACCTGAATATCAAATACCCCTAATTTACAAAAACTAGAATAATAACAAGACGAATCGGAAGAGGAAGAAGAAACTTTTACCTTCACCGTTTTGTCATCATACATGACCCACCGTCCATGATCATGACGGTAGGCAAAGCAGTGATAATGCTGCCCATAGTAGCAAACCTGAGGAAGTATCAAGATTAAAGTAAACAACTTGTTAGAGATTTGTATATTAGCAGAAAATATAGAGTACTTCTTAGTAATAGAGAATCTAAATGATTGAATATTGGAATGCAACAGGATAGTGAGAATTCATATAGCCAACTCCATCTAACTTGGGACTAAGGATACTTCTTGTAGTAATGGTTATTTTTTGGCAAAATGACCTCGTGACTACTTAAACTTGTACCTATTTGCAAAGCTGATATACGAACTAATAATTTTTCCATTTGAACACTTCTACTTAATAAAATGGGTGTTATAAACACATTTGACCGTTGAGTATGCCTATGCGGAGGAGGTGTAGATGACATGGCAATAATGCGTGCACATAACTGCTATAAGGCGCGTAACTTACAATTTTTTTGATTAGTTATTATCAAAAAACAAAAAGGATAATAAAGAAAAAAGAAAAAAGCAAAAATACCCTTGTTTCTTCCGTCACCCCTCCCTTGGGTCCCAGCTACACCTCTTTCACTCTCTCCTCTCTTTCGTCCCATCCTCCGTCCAACTTCCGTTTCAGTATCAAGATAGGAATAATTCAATGGATACTCATCAAATCCAGATTCAAAAACACTTGTTTAGTAGTGTGAGAATGCACAGGAGAAAATATTATTGATATTATTCTCTTATGTTAAACACAATACAATGAGCCCTATATATATATATATATATATATACACACACACACATAGCATGTCCTACTCCTAATACATATGGGATTAGGGTTATTTACTCCTATTTACATAAGTATTCTAACACTCCCCCTCAAAATGATGCATATAAATCATATGTACCAAGCTTGTTACATATGTAGTTAATACGAGGATCAGTGAGGGACTTGGTGAAAATATCTTCAAGCTGATCATTCGACTTCACAAACTTTGTAGCAATATCTCCCGAGAGTATCTTTTCTCTGACAAAGTGACAGTCAATCTCAATGTGTTTCGTTCTCTCACTGAACACTGGATTGATGCAATATGAAGAGCAGCTTGATTATCAAACACAAGTCTCATCTGACTAATCTCACCAAATTTCAACTCCTTGAGCATCTGTTTGATCCAAATTAGCTCACATATCGCTATAGTCATCGCTCGATATTCTGCTTCTGCACTAGACCGAGCAACCACATTATGTTTCTTGCTCTTCCAGGACACCAAATTTCCTCCTACTAAGACACAATATCCAGACGTAGAACGCCTATCAGAAGGTGATCCTGCCCAATCAGCATCTGAATATCCAACGATCTGCTCATGGCCTCGATCCTCAAACAATAAACCTTTGTGTGGAGCTGATTTTATATACCGAAGAATGCGAACAACTGCATCCCAATGACTATCACACGGAGAATCCATAAACTGACTCACAACACTCACAGAAAAGGAAATGTCAGGTCTTGTCACTGTAAAGTAATTTAATTTACCAACCAACCGTCTATATCTTCCAGGATCGCTAAGAGGCTCTCCCTGTCCTGGCAGAAGTTTAGAATTCGGATCCATCGGAGTGTCAACAGGTCTACAACCTGTCATTCATGTCTCCTCAAGAATATCTAAAGCATACTTTCATTGTGAGATCACAATACCTGAGCTAGACTGAGCGACCTCAATACCCAGAAAATACTTTAGTTTGCCCAAATCCTTAGTCTGAAAGTGTTGAAAGAGATGTTGTTTCAATTTAGTAATATCATCCTGGTCATTGTCGGTAATAACAATATCGTCAACATAGACCACCAGATAAATACAGAGACTCGAAGCAGAATGCCGATAGAATACAGAGTGATCAGCTTCACTCCGAATCATGCCAAATTCCTGGATAACTGTGCTGAACTTATCAAACCAGGCTCGAGGAGACTGCTTTAGACCATAAAGTGACCGGCGCAAGCGACATACAAGGCCACGAGACTCCGTTGAGCAACAAACCTAGGTGGTTGCTCCATATAAACTTCATCCACAAGGTCACCATGTAAAAAAACATTCTTAATGTCCAGCTGATAGAGGGGCCAATGGCGAACAGCAGCCATGGATAGAAAAAGGCGGACTGATCCTATCTTAGCCACAGGAGAGAAGGTATCACTATAATCGAGCCCAAATATCTGAGTATATCCCTTGGCAACAAGACGAGACTTAAGACGATCAACCTTACCATCCGGACCAACCTTGACTGCATACACCCCACGACAACCAACAGTAGATTTACCTGAAGGAGGAGGGACGAGCTCCCAAGTACCACTCGTATGTAAAGCAGATATCTCGTCAATCATAGCTTGTCGCCATCCTAGATGAGACAATGCTTCACTGGTAGACTTAGGGATGGAAACAGAGGACAAAGAAGATAGAAAAGCATAATAGGGTGATGACAAACGATGATAACTCAAACCGACATAATGGGGATTAGGATTAAGGGTGTCCGTATACCTTTCCGAAGTGCAATCGGTGTACTAGGAAGAGACAAGTCCCAGGAGGAGCAGGGTCAGGTGTAGGACGTGAATCAGCTGGGCCTGATGCTGGGTGCGGACGACGATGATATGTCAAGAGTGGTGTTCTTGTGGCAGGGAGTCTAGGAC